GTCCCCCCCACACCCCCTCCTCTCCAAGCTGAGTCACTGCGCAGAAGTATGGTAGATAAAGGCCCCTTGCTGACCTCTGCCATCATCTTCTACCTCTCCATTGGAGCAGCAATATTTCARGTCCTGGAGGAGCCCAATTGGGTGTCGGCTGCAGAGCAGTACAGGGAGCAGAAGGATAAAATCCTGCAGGACCACCCCTGTCTGTCGAAAGATGAGCTGGACAGAATATTAGAGGTATGCTGTTGTGTTTAACACTCTTAAAATGACAGACAAAGCCCAGGTGCTGCAGGCTCATCGTGTCTTTCTGCCTGGGGATGCCTGCATGGTGTCCTCCTGACACAAAGAGGAGCCTCGGCTGGTATGCAGGTTTTCACTCAACACCAACCCCTGAGGAATGAGATGAGTTTGGTTCAGGGTTCATCTCTGTGGGTCAACACACCCTCTTGCCTCAAGGCCTGAATTCTGCAGCACTGGGAGTCGAGCCTTATCTCTCAGGCTTTGTAGCGGTTAAAATGCTGATAAAACAGGGTTTTTTTTATTACCTTTGATGCAAATTTCAGTGTTTTAGTCGTTATTCTAACAGCTGTAGGGGATCAGTCTTTTCAAGCCCTGAGAAAAATGCATTCAGATGTTTTTTTCCACAATCAGAATGGGTTCAAACCTGCGCCACTAACCTCTTTGTTTTGACTGTCAACACTGGATGAACACAAGTCGGGGACTTCCGCAGGGTTTTTGGCCCCTGACATGATTATTTGTTTTGCTTTGTAATGTCAGATCTCTGTGACCTTGCCTCTTTACATTTGACTCAGATACTTTAAAAGCGACAAGAACATAATGTTGACATGCAGCTCCTATGAGCACGTTATTGGTGCCTCTGGTGTCGGTTAATGCCAGACCCACTATAGCTGTTTTTCTCATTTTCCTTTGGCCAGACATGTCTCAACCTGTCCCCCTTTGGGATCCTGTATTGAGGAGATTTATGCCCCCCCACCCCCCTTTTTGCCTCTCTTCTTTGTGTTTAGGGGGACTGAAAGGGGATATACTCACAGATCCCCCCTCCCAGTCGCAGCACCTCTCTTGCAAATCTTGTGAATGAAGTCAGGAGAGGGAGATCTGGTTGGGCAAATGTTGTAAAATGTTCCTTTTTAAATATTTGGTTATGCAAGTTGACTGAAAGGGAAGCACCTTTTTTTGTCTCTCAAATGTTGCCTATACACTTCCTGCTGCTGTGGTCTCTCTCTAGGACAAAGGCAACACTGAGCCATCTGTTCAGTTTCATGCTGCTTTCAAAAGATTATACCAAGTAGAGTGCTGGACAGCTATTCCCTTTCACTGCCACACAGTTTGGTCTATTGTCCTATCTCGCCTAGACCAGAATCCGTTTTCCCCGTTTGGTTCTTTGCCAAAACACCTGCTGCAAACATGTCTGAGCTGCCGCAAATAAACCAAGTTCGTAACCACCGGCCCTGAGATGCGGTTYGATTTCCACTGGGGGAAACTTTTTCGGAGCTTGTTAACAATTAAATCGCATAGAGGCCAGCTCAACAGGAGCAGTCGACACTCATAAAAGTTAGGTTTTCTCCGTTTTTATTAACAAGAAGTTGTCTATTAACTCGGTGATCCTTGAAGTGGGTGCAGCTCGTAGATTAGGCTTTTACAGCCCGTCAGCGTTTGCTCTTAGGAAACATTTATAAAGTTCAATATGGGTGGTGCTGAGTGTGCGTTTTATCTCTCCAGCAGATCRCCCATATGTCCTGTTGTAGCATCAGCATGTTGTTCGCATGAGGAAGTCTGCAGGATGACTCTTCCCTTCTGTTAAAGGGGCAATATCATGTAAAATCAACTTTTTTGAGTTTTAAATCATTATAATATCATATAATTCTAATATAATATAAAACATATAAAACACGCCCAAAGCCTTGCTCTGACTCATTCATGCATGTTTGAGAAATCCTGCAGCATTTTTAGGGAGCCTTGCTG